TTCATTCAAGGCAAGGCAACTTTATTTACTTAACACATAGGCTACAGAGGGTCAATTCAAAGTAGGACATTCACTGACATGAAGGACATGGATATGGCGCCACCTTGTGTCACAACGCAGATAATTGACATTAGTACAGGCAATGCAGTCAATAATTATCCTGGTGATTATTTCGCAGATAAACCTAGTAACCCCGCCCCCTTTAAAAAATCGGCTCTTTTGAACAGCTCTTTGAAAGGAACCGGCTCCCAGAAAAGAGCCATAATTCCCATCACTATTATGTATACATATACTTGTGCAAATTGGCATGAAGTAAATATAGAGTATCTGGTTCCCCCCCCCTCACCTGCGGTCCAGGTCTGATGCAGCAGCGTAGTGCAGGGCGGAGCGCCCCCATTGGTCCGTGGCGTTGACCGCGGTGCCGCAGGCCGCCAGCGTCTCCAGACACTGATAGTGACGACTCGCCGCCGCGTAGTGCAGGGGGGTTCTGGGTAATAGATAGATAGATAGAGAGAGAGAGAGAGAGAGAGAGAGAGAGAGAGAGAGAGATGGATGGAGAGAGAGAGAGAGAGAGAGGAGAGAGATAGATAGATAGATAGATAGATAGATAGATAGATAGATAGATGGATAGATAGATAGATAGATAGATAGATAGATAGATAGATAGATAGATAGATAGATAGATAGATGGATGGATGGATAAATAAGTACTTTATTGATCCCAATTTGGGAAATGTTTGCGCTGCAGCATGAAAAACAAGGCAATTAAGAGAAATGAAGACACTAGAAATAAACAATCCAAAATACAAATAAAATAGCATTAAAAAGGTAAAAAATATACATGTAGAAAATATACACGGAAAGGCTACTATAAAAATACTGCTGGCATCTTTATCATATTGCTAAACACAGACATGTTCTTGAACCCTCCTGACACACTGGGAGATAAACAATTGAGCCATTAAGACAGATTTGATAATTACTGTATGTGTCAGGTGCAAGATTTATTTGAGGACACTTAATTTCTATGCATAAAAAAGCACTAACCATCGCCAATTAACTGTTCTGTTTGAATGATCAACCTGCTGGTAACTGATCTGTGTTTACTCTCTCACCTGCCGCACTTATCCCTCTTGTTGTGATCTCCCCCGCTGCTCAGCAGCAGCTTCACACACTCCACATTACTGCGGAAACAGGTAACACCATTAGAAATACTGCAGGAATAACATTGGCTGTATAACATTACATACATGTACTCTTTTTATGGGTTAAAACAAATACATTTGGTCTCAAATAAGCCAAAGTGACTCATCAAATGTTTCTAAACTTTTCTATAAACTGAATATTGAAGGATTTAGCAGAACTAGTTTTAATTGTTGTGTGTATAGGTCAGACGAGCAACAGACAATCAGACTAATAAATACAATTGGAATAGAATAAAAAATGGCAAAAAGTGAATTTACTGTCCAGACTTAAAAATTAATCACAAATAAGACTCAAGTGTTCTCTGCGTTGGATACACATGTATTGTGAGCTCACTTTCTGTTTCACGTCTAAATAAAGTGGGTTTATTGTTCAGAGTAAACTTTCTAGGTTAAGCAGTATTTTCATTGGTACTCTACCTATTTTTCTATAAAGTGAATATTTGTTTACCTACTTTTGATACATGCTCTGATAGAATAATTGTATGCTGTTGAAAAAAACCAATAAAAAATAACTTTCTACGAGGATTACAATTTTTTTCAGATCGTCTGACGTTTAGACTTTATTCCTAATACTTCAAGGCCTTTTAAACCTTCCTTTTATTACCCCAAAACATATACGTTGTTATAAAGTGCAGGCGGTGTCTCACCCCCCGGCGGCGGCCGCGTGCAGGCAGCTCCTCCCCAGGCTGTCAGGAGTGTCGATCTGGAAGCCTGCACACAGGACCGAGTCGTTACACATTAAGCTAAACCTCCGGCCTGAAGGGGGCAGTGCAGGGAGACGAGGAGGAAACACACAGCAGCAGCAGGAGAGAGAGAGACAGGAGGAGAGAGAGAGACAGGTGGGGGGGAAGTTAGGTGAGACTGGACGTGCAAACAGGGAAACAGGAAAACGTCTAGGAAGGAAGGAATCACAGAAACAAAGACAGCTCCGACCTAATATATAAAACAATATTTTAAATGATCACAACCCTTTTAGGCAACAAGGACTTTTCAAAGAGCCCTTGACTTTTGTGTTTTTATTTCTTCTCGTCAAGTCAGTTTGTTTAAGCTATTGACAAACATACGTTGCAGATAATCAAATAAGTAATCAAGTACACAAGTACCGTAATTTTCGGACTATAAGCCGCACCTGAATATAAGCCGCAGCAGCAGCATACCACTCTCGGTTCCACTTTTACTTTTGCGCGCTACCTGTCTCACTCTTTTCCGGCCTCCAGCTTTTCCTGCTGGAACCCGCCGCTTAAAGGTGGGGGTCCGCGGACCGGCCATAGAGCCCATAGAGTTAAAGGTGTTGGCCGTTAGCTGTAAAAATCCATAGATTAGCCGCACCGTTATATAAGCCGCAGCGTCGAAAAATAGGGAAAAAGGCGCGGCTTATAGTCCGAAAATTACGGTAAGTATGTATGTATGCAAGTAAGTAAATAGGTAGGCAAGTGAGTAAGTGGATAAGTCAGAAAGTAAATAAGTATACGTAAGATGTGTAAGAAAGCCAGTAAGGCGTAAGGATAAGTAAATAGGAAATGAGGAAGTAAGAAAGGAAGGAAGTAAGTACAGTATGTAGGTACGTTTAAAAAGTGTAAGTAAGTAAGATATAAAGAATTAAGAAAGGACGTTAATGTTAGTTAGTAGTTAGTTAGTAGGTGAGTAAGAGGTACTAAGTAGGAAAGTAGATGATAAGCTAGTAAGGAAGTAAGTGAGCAAGTGTCTAAGTAAGTAAGTGTATATATAGTATCTATAAAGAACACTGTTGAACTGTGTGTTTGATGCAAATTTGGATTTTGGGTTTTCTGAAGGTTGAATTCAGTTTTTCTAAGTTGCTCGTTGGTTCAAAGTATCCACCACATGAGGGAATTGTAGCATCACTGTTGCCCAGCATTAAATCAGTGTGTTGTCGTTTCGTGTCTTGGCTTTTTAAACTCTCTCGTTAAAAATGTGCCTAATTTTCACGCTTTCTGCAGAAGTAAAAGAGACTTCTGGCATCTGATTTATCTCTGGGTTTAACAAAGACAAAAGCTCAGCAGCACTTCTGCTCACACACACACACACACACACACACACACACACACACACACACACACACACACACACAACTTCTTTGTTGAAACAGAAAGCAGCGACTCAGCAGAGACTCATGAGGAGTTTCCTGCTGCTCGCCTGCAGACTCAAATGATCAAGAAGACGATTGTTGCCTTTCCCTGTTGCTTCTCCCAGAGGACCCTCGGACCCTCTCCATTTTGAATTCACATATACTGCAATATATCTCATTCTTACATATTGTTATTATTGAATTCCCCTTACACTGTTTTTGCATGCACTAATATACACTAAAAACACCTTGTGTGGGTAAAACTACTTAGAATAAAAAAATATAAATTGAATATGATCTTAAAATGCTTGTTTACAAATAAATCCTGAATTCAGATTGTTAATAGTAGAAGTACAAACGTATATGTACTTAAAGTATTCAAATGTAACGTATGCAGAATGGCTCTTTCACAGTATTTTAGTATTATAGGATATTATTTTATCCTATTTTGATTACTAACAATTCAAGTGATATGTTGTCAACGTGGAGCCAATGTTCAATACTTACAAAAGTACTGTTTACATTAGTAGTACAATACTGCATTCATTATATAGAACATCATGTGTTTTTTATATATACACACACACACACACACACACACACACACACACACACACACACA